GAATGAATCCAGAGTTGAATCCAGAGTTGAATCCGAAGATTTTACATGGGCAAATACATTATTTACAATACATCAATGAAATTACTTGACTATATACAATGAAATCATGTTATACACTGCTATGAATAAATAATTACAATATACATTTAGAGAGCAGTAAGGTATCTAGTAGATATACATAAGGTGTTTCTTTAAATTCCATATGAAGTGGCAGAAAGACATTATGATGCTTTGCCAAGTATCGTAATCAAGTTCGTTAGTCAAGTCATGGACATCTGCACCGAGAAAGAATGAAAGCATATCATCATGGTCAAGCATATCTATTTTCACGTACATACATCTTCATCAAGTTTATCAATCAGGCATGGGAAGAAATTAATTCACAGTGCAAAATAATATGGCAATCATAGTCATAGCAATGTCTATTACAATGGTTACATTCTTTCGACAATTTTGCTCTTGATCCGATTTTAATACAAAGTTGCAGGGGTTGCCTTAAATGTGGATAGAGATACATTACATTTTAAAAAACATGCATTTGTAACCGTTTGTGAATTTTATGGTATCGTGAAAGATCTAGTCTCTGTGCTAGTCTCTCTCTCCAGATGTACTGTTCATTCACTGATAGATGTCTGATTACAAGAGCTCGCCAAGCCGATTTAGTTGGGAATGAACCGCTATCAGTATATTCCTTTATATAGTTATCTAAATGGTATTTTTTAGCAGTATATAGAAGGATGTTGCATATGCTTACTAGACGGCTAATATTGACAATAGCATTGGTAGCAATGTGAGCACAAAATAGATCTTTTGTTATTGAGTTACAATCGTTATTGCAGAGCCTTCCTAATAATTGTAGTCTACATTTATCAATGTAGCCATTCTTTGACCACATTCCCAAGTTAGAAAAAGACGAATCGGTTTGATGTCTTTTACCAAATCCTTGTATATGACGAGCAAAGTAATGTTGTGTACATTCAATCATTTCAAGTTCTTTGCCGTATAAGGCTGGTAACAATTCACATCCATAAAAGCTTGTATTTAAAATGATTCTTTTCCATATACAGTATTGACACATGCAACTGGGTGGAGGTCAGAATCGTTGAGGCCGAGTGATCGTAGTGAATTAACACATTTTCATGCTTTTGAGCAAGATGTCATGATTTTTTCTTTACAGGATAAATTACTGTTTATGATTATTCCGCCATATTTGACGGAGTCGTAGGTGTCAATTGTTGCATCGCCAAACTTGTAGGTTACTTTATTAAGACGCTGGCGTGTTTTGCAGAATACAAGTGAATTACTCTTGGAGGCATTATAGGTGAAGTCTCCATTTGTTGGCATATAAACGAACTGAATCAAGAGAAGACTGTAAGCCCCGTGGGCATCGGCCAATAACACACAGGGTATATAGATGCCATAAATAGAGAGGCCATCGTTTGCTTTCCTTAGTTCACATATAAGGTCATTTATGAAAACGAGAAAGAACCATGCTGACATAACTCGACCTTACCCAAAACCTTGTTTAATGGGAAACTCATCAGATCTTTCTCCGTTGTAGGATATAAAAGCACAGCTGTCTGTATAGCTATAGAAAAGTAAGTTCAATAATTTACCCTTCACACCAAGGTCATGTAATTTAACAAATAGACCGTCATGACAAATACGATCGAAAGCTTTTTCATTATCTAAAAATGCAGCAAACACTTGTGATTCTCTTTCTATTATCTAGGTAAAAATTAACACATTCTAAAACGGTGAATACAGACATGATTGCTCCATGTTCCTTTCTGAAACCAAATTGTAAAGCACCCGGGAATGATTGGAGATTACTGGGTGTATATTTTTCTATTCTACTTTAAATGATTTTCTCTAGAAGTTGAGATAGACACGATGTTAGAGTTATGCCCCTGTAGTTACGTGGATCATGTTTGACGTTTTTGCCTTTATAAATAGGTATTATCATACCTTTTCTGAAGGCACATGGATAATACTGGGATGCAAGTATTTTATTGAATAGGTGTTTCAGGGTTACTACAAGCATCTCTCCTCCAAATATCAGGTGTTTATTTGTGATACCATCAGGTCCTGGAGATTTTTTTCTTTTAAGGTTGTGTATATGTGATCTGATTTGTGGGACTGGGATTTCTGTATACAGGATATCATCTTCTGGATCATGATTATGACGATTTTGTTCCATGATATAATGAAGTTTTGATACAATGGCGAGTTTAAAGTTTTCGTCAAAATCATCAGACTGGTGAGGTTTTGCCAAGTCTGAATAATAGTCACCCCACAGTTTACATATATCAGCTGAAGAGACAGCACTACGTCCATTGTAAACTAATTTATCAATAACTGGACTCTTGCGTCTCAACTTACAAACATGTTTATAGAATGTATCAATATCGGCTTCACATGTCTTTTCTAGTTCTGTACTTATTTCTTTGCGCTGTTTACGTTTTGATTTTCGGTGTAAACGTCTTAATTCCCTTTTTGCATTTTTATAGGATTTGTATAATCTAGAGTTTTCTCCCCTTGGTCTATTATCCGCTATCCATTCTCGTCTGGCCACCCTCATTTCATAGTGGGACTGATTTAACCCATCATTTTTCCAATAGGGCACCAAATCCCTATCTCAAAGATTAACCATAATGTTTAACACAATCACGCAAGGACTTTCTTTATATTAACAGAAAGTATTTAAGACAAGTGAAATTCATACTATATGTGGATTCTCAAAAACTCAAAGGATTTGCTTGACTTTTTACAATCTCAGAAAAGAACCAAGTTTAATTCATTCAAAACTTTTGATTTTTCAACTTGTACACCACTATCATACGGAAGCACTTCATTCCTTGATCCATGAGGTTTTTTCTTACAAAACGAAGTGACCATAGATATGCAGTTACATATCTATCTTCAGAGGTTCAAGACAACTGTCAACAATGAAAGCAAATGCCATCTCAATTTTATGGAGAAAACAATACCGTATTCGACGTAATAAGCGCCCCGCTCTAATAAGCGCCCACGGCGATATTTGTTAATATACTGGCTAGTGAACAATCCCAATTAGCACCCCTTCCGATTGATAAATGTACACAAGGCTATTTATTCGTGCATAATACGTTTGTTATATGCACCCTTAATTATGGGCAATTAAATTCTGGAAAAATATATCTGTCGTTTATAAACATTTCAGCATAAACCACGAAATTTACGCTCTTTGAACTCAAAAATATATATTCTAATAAGAGCCCCCTATTTCTAATTTTGAGAGCGCCCTGGGCGCTTATTATGTCGAATACGGTATGTGAAAATAACTGAAATGCTGGACTTCCTCATTGGTAACATTAATGTAAAATTTGAGGGTAAGACATTTAGGCAAGAAGTAGGCATCCTCATGGGCATCCAATTGTGCTCCTTGCTGGCCTGTTTCTTTATGAATATGAAAAAGTTCTGTTCCTGATATTATCAAAGTCAAAACAAGGTGTTTGACATCTTAAACTAAAGGGACACTAATCTCTGGCTCGCTAGGGCTCACTAGCTGCCCTGAGTATATTTGCTCGCTAACGCAACTGGACAGCTAAATAAACTTGGTGGCAATACCTGTTTTACACATTTTCGAACACTGGTTACCCATGATCTATGAAGATTTAATTAATTTCTTCAGCCTAAACAAACAGACAAAAAGAACGGAAGATCATTGGATGTGGTTGTTTGGAGTGAGTGAGTGAGTGAGTATGGTTTTACGCCGCTTTTAGCAATATTCCAGCAATATCACGGCGGGGGACACCAGAAATGGGCTTCACACATTGTACCCATGTCGGGAATCGAACCCGGGTCTTCGGCGTGACGAGCTAACGCTTTAACCACTAGGCTACCCGACCGCCCCTGGTTGTTTGGAAATATCCCTGACGGTTATAGTCTCTGCAGTGAAAGCATTTTCAGATTTTGGATTGCGTGGACCATAGAGGCTTGACCACCTATGTGAAACACCTGAAACAAACTTAGTTTCTCAGTTGAGAATTGAACACATGTCATAATATCCCAAAACGATATATATATTTTAAAATATTTGATTGTTACAGAGACAGATCACATCAAATAAATTTCTTTGTACAGCTGCAGACGTGTGGGATAATGTTCCTTTATGTGGATATTCACAGAAACATTCCTCGAACAAGGAAGCTGCCTAAAATTATACATATAACTTTGTAGGTTGTAATTATGATATTTGCATTTTGTTTTTATTTATTTGCTGTAGTATTGAAAAGAATCATTCTTGTTCCTCTACATCTTGATTGGGAAGTTCTACGATGCGTGATGGTCATTGTTTTCACAAGTCTTTTCCTTTGTAAGCGTGTATATGTTTCAGTCAACATGTAAAATGTGATTCACTCAGGCAATTTATAAAATGATTTCAGTCATTTTATAACATCACAATAGATTAATTATGCTAGGATTAACTGCCAAACAATATAGAAATGTACTTTTAATCCTAACATTTTCAGTCACTTGGTGATGATATTTAACATTAAAATGTTTGGAATTCGTTATCATAATAAATACAGATGGACATATTTTTCAGTCAATTTGTAAAATAACTGAATATTTAGGCACTTAATACATTTCTTTAGAGAAAATTTTGCACATTTTGACTGTAAAAATATAAACACGATAAAATGAGCCATGCTCAGGTGAAATATTTACTTTGTGTTGCAAGTCAAAATAGTGTAAATGAAAATCGCACAGTTACCATGCAACTGACTTATCAAAAACTTGTCACCATTACTGATGCTACCAACACAGATACATGTACCTACATTTCCTTTTTATTTTCAAAACTGTATTTCATTTTGTTGATCAACCTGACCATACCCCCTTATACTATCAATACCAATGGCACAGCACAGGGGCCGTATTTATCAAACAACTTAAGTCATAAATAAAACTTAAGTCAGTTAAAAAAAACTTAGTTTTCTTGTTTTTTTACTTAAGTTTAGTGGAAAAACTTAAGTCATATTTATCAAAAGACTTAGACTTAAGTTTTGTCATTTTCTGACTTAACTATTAAGACTCACCTTGCTAGGCTTAAATCATGTATGTTTGACTTAAGTCATGTAAAATGGCTGCCAGACGCAATTCAAGAATATTTAATGAGAGAAGAGATATACTACATTCATTAGATGACAATGAACTGATACAGCGGTACAGATTTGATAGGAACAGTATTGTTTATATCTGTGATATCCTTGAGCAGGAGTTGAGTCCTATAACACAGCGGAGCTGTGCCGTGTCCTGCGTTACGAAGGTGCTTGTTACTTTGCGTTATCTTGCCACTGGCAAGTTTCAAATGTGTAACGGTGATGACCATGGTCTGAGCCAACCCACTATATCTCGGGTGATTTTCCAAACGCTTGACTCCCTCACAAGTCACCGTATCCTTCGTAGATTTGTTACCTTTCCTGTACAACCCCAAGAAATAAGACGCCATCAACAGCGCTTCTATCAGACTGCCAATTTCCCGGGTATTGTTGGGGTAATTGATGGCACCCACATTCAGATTCAGGCCCCATCAGTCAATGAGAAAGAATTTGTCAACAGGCATAATTACCATAGTGTAAATACACAAATAGTGTTTGACAGCGACGATCATATAATCGACATCGTTGCACGTTGGCCTGGCTCAACACACGACTCCCGCATTTTGACAACAAGTGGGTTATGTCAGATGTTTGAGGGGAACCGGCTACCAGTAAGTTGTCATCTGCTTGGAGACAGTGGCTACCCTTGTCGGAGATGGATCCTAACACCATTTTTGCGTCCTCTCCAAGGACCACAGACAAACTACAACAGGTATAAATATTACTTCGTTCAGTTCACTACGAGCACTCAGCAATAGAGTGACTTCCCCTGGTTAGGTAGAATATTATCTCAAACCTAAAAACGGAATGGAAGAGTTACACATATTTGCTGTAAAGTATGATTCAGGCATCATTCCGTTTAATTCCTACTTAAGTGTCGTAAAATTATGTAAGTCGCAAATCAGGTAAAAAAATATGTATGATTATGTATTCATCAGTAAGAAATATTAATCATTTTATCTCACTTCTCTTTTATGTATGAAAACATACTAGTATGAAGCATTGATTCTATGAAATATAACCACACACATAACAAGAAACAGCAATATTAAGGGGTTTGCAATATGTTGTCATTATAATGACCAATGGATTGAAAATGTTAGTTTCTATCGCTGAGAACATAGCAAAATGTGTTCTTCTTTTTCTTATACTCCCAATTTAAATTTTATATGATTATCTGCTAATAATGATTATTCATTGCAATTGTCAGATCACATAAGAAAACAAGGAGTTGTGTGGAGAGGGGAATTGGGCAGCTGAAACGTCGGTTTCATGTTTTACATGAGGAAATCAGACTTTCCCCACAGAAGGCGTGCAAGGTATAGAAATTAGAAAATGTTTTCATTTCTTTTTATTCAATTTCAGTAAAAAATGGAGAGTCTTCATAGACTTACACTTTAATGGAATTATTTCTTTTTCACATTATTATTGTCAGGACTAGATATACTGTAGGTTGATAAATAAACAAACACAATACGGTGAACATTAATTTTTTATTCAATGAAGACAGTAACATTTCATCAATATGACATTAAACTCACTCACTCACTCACTCACTGTCATGTGTTATTGTAAAAAAAGTCAACACAATTTCATAATCTGTATCTGTATTGATGTTCAATATTCATTTTCTTTTGACTTATTTTATATCTAGCTTAAGGGAAAAAATTAGGCAAATATATCTGAGATCAAACAGTACATAGTATAACATATTTGAAATACAGACCATACATTTCACTCTTTGTCAAATTCAACACATTCTAGAAATATTTGTCATTAGATTAAGGCCACATCAGTTCATGAAAGGGTATTGAATAGGCTTTTTAAACATTTTTCTAGGTAATAACTGCCTGTGCAGTGCTGCATAACCTCAGCAAAGACAGGAATGTGCCTATGCCAGTTGTACATGGAAACAGCCAATCCGGACAGCTAAGGGCACAGATGCAAGGTCTATCAGCCATTGCACCTGCAGCAACAGGGTTGAGATATCGGGAACAGTTTGCAATCACCTACTTTCCATGTAAGTTATTTCCTGCTACTATTACTATTACTCTAAGTATGCACTTAGTATTAATTTAAATTTTCCTAAGGGACAGCCCATTTGATATTCGGGGGCGGGTGGGAAAAATACATTGTTGCAAGGTGTTTTTCTAAAAACATTTAGCTCATATTTTTAAATAAAGCGATATCTGTGTCTGTAGCTGAAAAACTATCTAATCTTGATACAAAATATAATACTAGCCCCTACCCCCAAGCAAATATCAAATGGTCGGTCCCCACTTGCGTGACATGAGCTTTACAGTCTATTCTTCTACTTTGTAAATTTTCTTTGTTAGATACTCTTTTCTTAATTTTAAACATTCAATTTCTAATACAAGTTTTTCTTTGTTTAATGCTTCCATAGAAGTCTGATTCTGGCACTGGCAAGTCCTCTCTGGCACGTTGAACACATTGGCCATGTCCTCAACTTCACCGCTGAAAGAAATATATATACATTATTTGTGTATTCGGAGCCTTGTGTTTTGCTTTTATACAGAGACTTGTCAATAATTGCAAATTGACTGCCTGTTGCAGACACATTGGGAAAGAACTTTAAAGAAGTATACTTTAAATTTTGATTTCATAAATATATTTTGGGGAGTATGTAACAAAGCTGACAAACATGAAATACTAAGTGATGCAATAATGTTAGTACAATATCAACATCAACATTTATGTCATTTGTACCTCTCTCTTGATGTCATGACATCAAGCAGTTGTAGGGCCGTCGAATCACAGGAGTTGGATATTCCTGTCAAAGACATGTTGTCCCTCCCTATGGCCTCTACAACTGCATCTGTGACAGGACTTACAGGGATGGGAGGTGGACCGCCTCCTGTAAGTGCAAGAAGCAGTATAGGTTATAGTGTGAATGGTGTTATAGTATTTAGAAACATATTATCACAAAACCAACACAATATAGAGACAAGTACTCTTTTGACCTTCAAACATTGAGATAGGTTTGTGTTGGTATAATTATACTCTTAATATACAGCAACAAGTTACAATGTAGGTCTTAATAATAACTGTGAAGGGATGACAATATCCTTTTTCCACTTTCACATTAACTATATCATTTTAGGTCACCTTTTTTATCAAAACTATTTAATAACTAAACTAATGTATCCATAAGTATGTTTACCAGTGGCAATGGTTTGCTGCCTGAAATTAGAAAAGGCTTTCTTTGACTGGCTCTTCAGGTTTTTCCATTTCTTTTCAACCTCCTCCTTGGTCCTCCTGTGCATTAAGCTTGCATTAAGGGTGTCTGTAATCATCTGCAATATAAACATAACAACTCAAATGAAAAACACATCAAATTACATTAATAATTTTTGTCAGTATTAAATCATGCTATATGCACACTGTACATTGTACCCAGTTTTAAGACTTAATTTCTGTCCTTGTGGTATTACACTCAAATTGATTTCTGAAATAAAGTACTGATTGAAAAGAGATATCTTTATTTTTAAACATGAGACCAATTATTCATGATGTTTTAAGCCTTTTAATAGTTTTTATGTCCATTGAAATATAAAAATTGAAGTGAATTATGTATCGTGATACATAGTGTATCATGAACTGAGTATTGCGATATGTATCATATTTTGTATCCAAAGCCCAGTTTTAGCAAAGCTGTTTAGACCCAAAATTATATGGGACTGTGTTACTAAGAAAATAATATTATTCATATTTCAGTATATTGTCATATATGTTTTACATTAATATTGTAAACAAGAGTATATGTGCATTACATAATATAACATTTCATCAAGTTCATAATATGACTATGCAGCACTAGATCGAGGTTGTATGAGATCCATCACAATATATTTATTACTAATTAATGCATAGGAACACATTGATTGGTCTTGATATGGAAATGACATCTTGACCCTGTAATAAGTTATTGTTAAATTAGTTAAACTAACTTAATTGTATGCTTTTGACATGAAAGTGATAGTAATGTAACTTTAGGATACTAACATGAGGCCTAGGACTAATGTATACTTTAGAAGCTAATGCAAATGCCCCAAAAGGAGTACAAAATGACATAGATCTAGGCTACTGGTTTGGGTTCAAAATCACCTAAAATTTTGGGTAAAAGTTGTTAGGGGTACAGACAATAGGCCTACCCCGATGAAGAAACAAACCACAGTGCAACTTGAAAAAGACGAAAATAATTGTTTGGGTCTCATTGTGTAAATATGACCAAAATATATCATTCCCGTGGTACTGGACTTACAAAGTGTGATGATGGAAGGTTGGAAAACGTCTTGGTTATTATTCGACCACATGCATTCCTTGATACGCATTACGGCCTTGTCTGCTACATATGTATGTAAAATTAATGATGTAAGCAGCTAAACCTCTCAAAAAAACAGTAAAAAAACACTCACTACCTCAGGTACCTGCCACGCCTCCTGTCGCTTCAAGGAGGTGATGCCGGGGCCAAACTTTCCTTCAAGCACCACCTTGTTTGATGCCACCAGCTCTGCTAGTAGTAACGATTCTTCTTTGGTAAAGTTTGGCCGTCTCTTTTTCGCGTCTTCGGTCATGGCGTGGGCCTATCTTGGAGCTCGCAGCGGTGTTTATTATCGTCTGCGCTGTCCGGGAATTCCCCGATGACGTTTTTCTCTCTCTTAGTGAAAAGAGTTCCACTGGTAGGCTAAAAATAGCTGGGATAGTCCTTAGTGATCACGTGTTTGCATTCGGTGAAATCGACTTAGTTTCTCACGGCAGACTTAGCTAAGTTTTTTACTTAGACGCTTCGTGAATACCAACTTAAGTTTTTGACTTGGCTAAGTAATTTTTCCGAAACTTAAAGGGGCACTGATCTAACGCAATTCCCCGGGACTGGTTGTTGCCTTTGTTATTGTTTTTTCCCAGTGAGTACCCGGATGTATAGCAGAAATCTAGACTAGTTCGCGACCTCTGCTGCGCCATTCGTAAGCGCATTAGTCACTTTTATGGATACCGGTAGTAATAAGGGCGTATGGTCACATTGATCAACAAAATGAAATACAGTTTTCGAGATAATAAGGAAATGTAGGTATCTTTGTGGGTAGCATCGGTAATGGTGACAAAGTTTTGATAAGTCACTTGCTTGGTAATTTTTCGATTTTCGATTTTCGTTTATACTATTTTGACTTGCAACACAAAGTAAATATTTCACCTGAGCATCGCTTTTTTTATAGGGTGTATATTATTTTCTGTCAAAATGTGTAACATATTTATTAAACGTCTAAATATTCAGTTATTTTACAAATTGACTGAAAAACATTTCGATTTCTATTATCATGATAACGAATTCCAAACATTTTGATGTTTAATGTCATCACCAAGAGACTGTAAATGTTACGTTGAAAAGTACATTTCTATGTTGTTTGGCTTCTAATCCTACATAATCTGTTTTGATGTTTGTAAGCTCTTTTGATATTCTTAATCAATCTGGACAGATTTTTTAGTCAAAATGACTAAAATATTTACACATTTTATAAATTGCCTGAGAGAATCACATTTTAAAAATTGACGGTTATATATACACGCTTACAAAGGAAAAGACCTGTGAAACAACGTCTATCGCGCATTGGAGAATTTCCCAACCAAGACGTAGAGAAACAAGAACGAATAATCGGTTCAAATGAAGGAAAACAAAATGCAAATACCATAATTACAACCTACCAAATTTATGTGTATAAATTTTAGGCAACTTCCTTGTTCGAGGAATGTATCCGTGAATATCCACACAAAGGAACAATATCCAACTCGTCTGCAGCTACAAAGAAACTTATTCGATGTTACGTGTCTCTGTAACAATCAAATATTTTAAAAGGTATATATCGTTTCGGGATATTATAACCCGTGTTCGTTTCTCAACTGATCACTTGGATTGTTTCAGGTGTTTCACATAGGTGTCAAGTCTCAAGGGTCGGCTGAGAAAGCCCACGTGACAACTATTTTCATAACGTCCACGGTTCCTAAAAAATCCATTGAGTGATAGATAACAATGATCAATCAATCAACGTATTATCAGTTAACCCTTTGAACAAAGTATGTTGTTTTTACATCGGCACTTCACGCCATGATATGAGTGTATTCCCTTTGTTTTAGTAAACCTAGACATGTAAACACTCACTTTTGACATATCCACTGTGCAAGATAACAGTGATTAATCAATCAACGTATTTTCTGTTAATCCTTTGATGACTAGGAACGATCCGTTGATTTACAAAAAAAAGTAAATCAACTGATCATTCATCTCTTGCTGGGCTGCCACGTGCATATTACATAACACACATTTCACCTCAGTTCAAACCTGGATTTAGATTGAATAATTACCCCAGACACAATAAATGCCAAATGGGAACCTTTGTCAGGTAATCTAAGTGGTGCTACCACTAATTGTACCTGT